AAGAGGGGGCCTTCACAGGTTTTAAGATTAAAACTCCTTTGAAAAATTGGATCGGCATCCCGAACACAGCACAAAGACAACCCAAGTTGGGACCCGTGGCCTGGACCGTACATGTTACGTGGAAAAACTTAACGTGGACCGTACAAGTTAGATAATATTGTACTTAATTTTTGTATCCGCAAATACAAACTTCATGTCAACAAGGGGCAGGTAATTATTTACACTTCCTGCAGAATCGACATAAATATGCTCTTTAGAAAGGCCAAATTTTCAAAAGAAAGTACACAACAGATCAAACTTGCAAATTGCATATGTATTACGAAAGGAAAAAGACTGGTCGCCACTCAATTTTCTCTCATTTGAAGATTCGCCGCGAGGCACGCAGAACTCACGCCGTCGCCGGTAATGGCGTTCCAGGCGAGGTGGCGGGAGCTCAAAAAAGCTGGCTGGCACTCGAAGAAACCGGCAGGCCTGTCGGTGGACTTCACTTATCTGAAGCCGAGCAAGACGAAGAAGGATATCCGGGGCGAGATCTATTATGTCGGAGAGGAGGAGTTAATGACGTACCTGGACAAATTGGACATTGGTAGGCAAATGCAAGTGGTGTACATTTTTGATTTATTCTAACGCTGATGTGAGACTAGCTGCACTACAGGCAAAGAAGACAGCGAGGCGAGAAGGGTCTGCGAATGCACAGAGAGCTGCATAGAAGCGCGCAGCAGAACCCATCACGACCACAAACGACGGTAACTATCATGTATTCGACAAGTTTTGAGATTAACTAATCGTGTATGTTGGTATTATCATGTACAACAGCAGTACTGCGAGCACCGCCACCAGAGGTGCAGGCACCACAAGAAGCGTCTGCAGTAGTTCTGGCATCGCCACACATGCCCATTTCTAATGCCACAGCTGGTTCGTGCACGTCTTGTTGCTGCTTGCCTTTGGTTCTGCTGGCCTAACTGTGAATATACTGTTGTAGATCAGCCACCTGAAAGGCAACGTAACCTTGCATCGGAGTTTGAATATATAGACAGCGGTAGCGAGCCATCGCATGACGCAGCAGAAGATGCCCAAGACTCAGAAGATGATGATTTCACACCTGCAGGAACCGCGGATGAGGAGTCAAACGGAGACTCAGGAATCTGTGATGTTTCTACTGGAGGTTGGTCAAAGCTGTACATACACGCTTGAAAAATTATATAACTTGTATATTCAATGCTAGGTGTTCTTGCAGACGCTAATCTCGTCGAAGCTTCCGACGACCCCCGGGTGTTTGTGACCTTCGATTCTGATGCTGAAAACGACGATGGAGATGATGAGAGTGAGGATCATCTTGAGGATATTTCCGGGGCTGATATCCTATTCCCCGGTCCTCCCCAGCTACGTTTTGACGTAATTTGGTATCTGCTGTCGGTGGTATGGCGAATATCGCATCGGGTTCCATGTCAGACACATTTCTGAAGACGATGGCGGACACAGGATGTAACGGGGTAAGAGATACCGTTACTAGCTTACACTATAATGTGGAGGAAGCTCGCAATAATAAAACCAAGTCTTAGGTTTGTGTCAAATTCAACTCCGATTTATTTAGGACCAGGGCGGCTACCCCTGGCCTCGTGTGAACCACTCAAACACATGTCTATATCTGATTGGTCAATAAGTGAGTCTGGCTCCTCACTATCAACCAATCAGATGATGACACTTTGGCTCACGCTACCCGTGTGCCACTTTACCTACTTATGTAATAACTAAAGAAACATCTACCTACTTATGTAATTGGAGTTGGGCCCATTACATCACCCTCCTCTCTAAGTTGCGTTTACGCAACATAAGCGCACGGAACACATTTGAAGAAAACTCGAAAACCGACAAGGCGGAGACATCGGAGACAGCGCGAAGGGCGGCAGCACCAGCGCGTCGCTGGCGGTGGTAACAAGGGCAAGCCCAGGGTCGACAGGTGCGCCACAAGCTCTGGATGTACTGCGAGGACCGTCACTGTGCGTCTCGGCTCCCAAGACACACATCGACGAAGTGCCCAGCGTACATGCGACTTAGAAGACTCCGAGCTGGAGGCACTTGGATCACAGACATGAGGAACCTCACGAAGCCGACTTCGTGGCGCAATGGTCAACGCATGGGGATTCCAGTCAGGACGCCAGGGCTCGATTCCCACCAGGCGCATTCACTCACGCACACGCGAGTGTTGTTTTGCTGCCAGAACGGAATAGCTTCGAACATCTCGAAGACATGAGACTTGTCGACGGAAGTCAACCACTTGAGCAACCCAAGTGAGCATCACGTTGTCACCGCTGGTGTCACCAGAATCAGGTACTTGTTGGCCACCGTGTCGCCGCTGGTAATCGAAGTCGTTTCGGCGCAGCTGTAGCGTGTCGGATTGACAACCCACATGTCACCGGTTCGATGTCGCCTGTGGTTTCTTGTTTTCGTTCTTGCACTGACAAGTTGTGTCAGTGTCCGCCGCGGCTCACGCCGACGCTGCACGCGTCGGAGCGCGGCGTCGTTGTCACCCCCTCGTGCGGGTCGTACTCGTGGCCGTTCTCGATCTCATTCACGGTCTCCGCGGGGTGACCCGCGGAATTCTTCTTCTCAAGCAGCATGGTCTCATACTCGTGGACCACGTCCGGAACGTCGCGGAGAAGGTTGGCGCGGGGCTCCCACGTATCATGTTCTGGGGGATAACCGAGCCAACGTACCAAGTAGCGGCGCGCGGTCGGAACCGCGCGAGGAACACGACTACGGACGTTTCGTTGAGCGGTCGAGCTGTGGGGATCTTCGTGGTCAACGATACGCTCCACAATCCAGCGCGCATCACCCACCGAGTCAATTATCGGTGGTGGGCCTTCACGATGATACGGCGTACGCCCTGTACGTTCAGGCCGAGGTGGAGGCAGCTTCGAACCGCGCGTTGGACGCTCAGGTTGGGGCTGAGCGGGCGGAAGATCGTGCCTGGCGGGCTGAGCAGATCGCGTCGGAGCTTCGTCAGTCGAATTGGGAGCTGTTATCTCGCCTACGGGGATTGGAGACGCATGTGCTTGGCTCTGCCCAGCAGGGAGATCGTCCGCGAGAGCGGGCGCCAGGGGCTGACGGCTTTCTGGCGCGTCAGGCTCGTCGGGCTGGTCGCCCGAAGCATGCTCCGTCTGCTGGCTCGAATCAGGAATCGTCGCAGGGAAGTACCGCTTGAGTCGCCCGACGTAAAACGTCTGGTGGAGTCTAAGTGATGACGGGATGTCCAAGGTGTAGGCGTCGCCCACAGCCTTGGTTACACGAAAAGGATCGATGAAGCGTGGGGCAAGTTTGTTGGCGCCGAGGTTGGTCACGGCGGAAGCGCGGATTCCCTCGGTCGATAGGAGAACGCGATCTCCTATCTTGAATACATTCACGTTCTTTCGACCGTGCTTATCAGCTTGTTCCTTTTGGTTGTCCACTGCGTTCTGCAGTGCGTCGCGGACGAACCTTGCGATGGATTGCCTTTGCATGACAAATTCCGCAACTGCCGAGCGATCGGCAGGAAGCACCGAGGGTTTCGGTGTATAGTTTGCCGTGGTAACTTCTTGCTCACGAATCTTGCTGCCTGGATCGATCAAGTTCTGCGACGTCCATCTCGTTATCGGAGATGCAGTATGCCGAGGAGGCTCGATGGACTGCCTGGACGGAGAGCGAGTCAGGGCGTTCGCACTGGCTACACCCGAAGATAACCCTGAAGTCGAGTGCGCCGGCAGGCTTGTTGACA